CCCAAAGGAGATTTGTCCTTGTGAACTGTGAAATAAAACGTCCTTTGGGCTCGATTCAAATCACTTCACTGACAAACCTATAATGGAGGCTTTGGATGTTATTTATTTCAACCCATTTCACACTTAATATAATTTTTAGTTTAAAGGGATTTTCTTAAACATGCTCCTAATAATTCAATTTGCACATAAAGCAATTAAATCACATTAGGACATGCATGATTAATAGGCAATAATAAACGAGGAACTAAGATCCAACTATCATGGCCATTTTAATCAATCTCCAATCTTTCGGGAATCGAAGTCTAGTCCTTGTTGAACTGGGTCTTCCGAATCAGGACTTGGAATTTCCTTTTTCGCCGTGACTCCCACTTTTCGTCTTGAACAAGTCGTCATCGGGAAAGTCGCCATCGAGTCTCTTCTGTTGGCGTGTGCCTACTGCCGCCGTCGCCCGTACTTCTGTTGACCTGGGTTCGTGCGTATCCGTCTGCAAACACCTTAACAATGCTCGTATCTGACAGCAAGCTGCTACGAGTATGTCCGCATTTGCACAGTACCACGTATCCCATCAACTACGGGTTCGCGGGGTAGCCTGCTTCGTCTCGTCGAGAGATGTCCGCGCTTACCGGGTCCAACGAACGATTACATAATATAAATTACATACATTGATCCTATGGCCCACGCAGGGGTCGTACATGAATGATCTAGTAAAGCATTTAAACTATGCGGTGTCCCACCGCGCGAATAAATTATTACAAGCATTCACCAACCCAAAAAATCCTCGACATGTCCGAGGCTTTTAAAACGATATACATGAATTAAAAAACAAACATACATGCGGGCCATAATAGTCGGATTCAAGAATACCTGCAAACACACTAATTTGCAATTCTAATCTATTATGCGCTGCGTCTGTACAAAATTAATTCACATATATCACGCAAGCCCTAATTCGAATAGTGCACAAAGTCGAATTAGCCTGGGATCTGATACCAGTAGTTGGGTTCTATTAGGAACGTCGACAATGTGCACATTCAAATCTATTGAATAATAAATCCTAACGCAGCGGAATCTATAGTTAGGATTAGGACTTACGGATTAAAATTTTTTTGCCGACTCTGAGACGTTTCTGATTTCCGTTGATGGAGATCGTCTGAACACCAAAGTCTAATGGGCGGCTAGACTTGGCATTTCTCGATTCTAATCGAGTCACCATGGTGCTCCAATCGCTCATCAAGTTCATCGGATCGTCTCGGACCTTCCGTAAGTGAATCGAACTGCTCGGGAACCATCTTGGACTCGAACCGGGGCTTCTGGATCCACTTGAACTTGGTTGAACCATTCTGCCACGCTGCTGGGCCGATCTGGAGCTGATATGGACCGCCTGGACCGGTCTGGTGCGCGTTGGGCTCAAGCTGGTCGTGCTGGACACCATCTGGCCCATGAGACGCGCGCTGGAATGATTGCTGGGCCGCCAGTTACCTTTGAACATGCGCTGGGCTGAAGAATCACGAACTGGGCCGCGCACTACGCGCTGGGCTGCGTACAATGGGCCAGACGACGTTGGGCCGCTCGCGGGCTTGGTCGGGCCGCTCGCGGGCTGGGATCTGAGATGAGCACGGGCCTGGCGCAGGCTGGGACGCGGGCTGCCAACTGATAGGATGATCGGGCCGCGCGCGGGCTGTTGCGGGCCAGAAAGCCCGCGCGCCTAGAGCCAAAAAGAAATCTCCTATTTCTACAAGGAGAAGGATCGAACCTGCGACATACGCTCGGAAAGACCACGCTGCTCACCGTCGCGCTACATACTGTGTTGCGTCAATTTAACGCAGACTATGGATGAAGAACCTGACCGCAAAAACTGGAAATATATCGAACGGAATACGAATCAACAACCTTCGAATCTTCTATTGTATGACCTTTACACGATCTCTAATAAATCTTGGTGGAGCGATTTATTAGATTTCCCAAAACCTCTTGATCATCTTCTTCTAAGACCTTACGGTGCTAACCGATTTTTCTTTCGAAGAAGAATCTCTCTCTTTCTTTCTCGCTTGAAGAGGCCGAATTTCTCCAGCCCTTCGGGGAGAAAAAACGTGTAAAGCTTGTCCAAGAGGTTAGGGGACCTAGTGTATTTATAGGCTACAATAGGGACCTAAAGGAGGTGCTAAATATGGGCTTATTCCTTTAGGTTTAGGAATCCTTATTATCTTCCATCTCCTTTTCCCATCTAGGATAATATTCCTAATAATTAATTACCTTTTAGAAGACTCCATAGTCTCCTAACCCTAGGTAATATTCTAGAAGGAATATTCCCATCCTTAGGGAATTATGGAATATAATTAATTCATAATTTAGGAAACCTAATTCTACTCCAATTAATAATCTAATGTAGAAAATATATCTCCTACTAATCTTCATCTTCTAGAAGACTCCTTAGTCTCCTAATCCCTAGAGAAGATCTTAGTAGGAATATTATTTTCCTAATTAAATTAATTAATATGGAATAAAATTAATTCCTAATTCCTAATCTTGGAATTAAATAATAAAACATTCCACTAAAGTAATATTATTGCTCTCCCCATTTAGCTCCGAATTACAATTAATTCGTTTCCACTGATTAAATATATTAATCCAATTGATCGATTTATCTCCCCATGTTTAAGATATAACGTCCGTTGATTAATTAAATTACTGACAAAATAATTAATCAACTTCTTATTCATTTCCGAAACTAGTACCACTCAGATCTTTAATCATTATGTCGGATAACACATCCGCCTGCAGGGCTTGACATAATATTCCTTCCTGAGCTCATTTCGGGGACGTCATCAACCCAGCGTATTGGGACACAGTGACTGTAAATAATTTATAATGGCACATCATATAAACACACTTATTTACCAAAATACCGAGTATGTCATCCTAGCAGAATAGGAATCACCCTTGATAAATCAAATAAATAAGTAATGAATACATATGCCCATTTTATATTATCTTACAGCTTAAGAGTACGCATCAATTACTGAAGGTCTAGATTACAACAACGGTCAGTGAGTCTCATAATCTTATCCTTCCGTGGTCCTGTTCAACACTTAACATAAGTGCTAGTGTAATCCTTCAGTCAAAGACCAACTGAATCAAGAATACACTACAGTCTTTTTCCAAGTGAGGTCTCACTGCCAGTCTAGACTGTGAACGAATAGTTTAGTCTTATAAGGAACCGATAGGTGATCTTTCTGTTCGAAACTCTTCGAACCACACTACCTCAATATAAGACATGGAGTATGATTGCATAAATAAATAAACTTCAAGCATATGTACTTTGACCGAAACATGATGGCCAGATCAAAATGGAATTGATAGAATCTGTAAATAGGAGCTTTTACAGCATACCTCTAACACGAGGGACAACAAACGGAGCGAAATATCCTCCACTGGCTGCGCCTTCGCCTTCTTTGCGCGATCAGACCCGATGCGCATGTCCTTGAGGGCGTCCCAAGCAGCCTTTGCGGAGTCCTTTACGCCCAGCGACTCCACATACTCGTGAGGCAGAGCGGACAGAATCGCTTCCATCGCTGCGCAGTCCTCTTCTTCATCCTCGGTACCTTCCTCGATGGCCCGCCAAAGCTTGTGCGCACGCAACTTGACCTTCATCTGCACCGCCCACTCGCCGTAGTTTCTGCGTGTGAGGACCGGCCAGTTGGCCCCGCCAATGTCTCGCACGTTCCTGTGGATGATGACCACCTGGCGCGATGAAGCGTCTGCTCCGCTCCCTTGCACCATCGTTGCAACATCTTAGCTTGCCATGGCTCTGATGCCACTTGTTAGTCCTTAATTGCTACTGTCGACTTTTCTTCTCAACTTTGTTGTTGTATTTGCCGCTGGGCTGCACTTGTTTGGTTAAGCAAAAATGCTTCGCAAAACAAACGAACACTTTTAGGATAGAAGAAGAAGATTTTGAACAACTCAATGTATTGACTATTTATATTTTCTGTATGGTTACAAATGAAAACTGCATCCCTATTTATAAGAACTAAAAACAACTATTGTAGTGGCTTTCCTAGAAATTTCTTGAGCTGAAAAATCAGCCTAAAGTGGCTGCTATGAAAGTGTCATGAAAGTGCAATGAAAGTGTAATGAAGTGCAAGGAAGTTGCACTTCACTAACAAGTAAACTGCAGGAATATAACTTACTTTTTTTTTTTTTAGAGTCCTTTCTCCAATAGACAGATTTCTGCATATATTAGCATTTACTTTTTATGTCACTAGTAAAGTGCACGTGCGATGCACGTGGTGTCGAATGATATTCGTGGAGTAAGTTTGCAAAATAAATTAATTAATTTATTAAACATATCATTGCAGAAATGAAGTAAAATATAGAAAAAATGAACTCATATGTGATTTTTTTTTATTTAGAATTAACATAATGATGTCCTCATATAAAAAGAGTGAAATAACGTTTTACAACCCCCAACAAAAATATATATAAAAAACAAATACCTAATAAAAAACACAAAGATTTTCTTTCATTTTGGTTTTGACGTTCTCATGAGAACATTCATTGTCGGCTGAGTCCAATACATCAATAATATTGCAAAATTTCTCTTAATTAGTTTGGCAAAACGCCAATTTTATTCAAACACTTAAGAAATATTCTGACCCAACATATAGTCAAATTTCATGATCGCATGATCTTTATAACAAGGTACTTCTACTAACAAAGGATAAATATCTCTATGAAATAACTAACGGTGTCACTAAAATTGCTGATATTTTTTATCACTGTATAAACTACTAATTCCTCTTAATTCATTTTACATTCCTCTGTTTCTAGATATATTGGTGTCTACCATATTGATGCATCGCCCCACGAGGTGGGAATGAATTTTATATCCAAATAAAAGTTGACTTTCCAAAATCTGGGTTACATGTACTTCTCCCGAAGTGCTAAATTATTTTGAAATCACCATACATTACCTGAAAGTACCTCTAAAGTAATTGCACATATGTTCAAGCGCAATACACCAATGAGATTATAAATATTTCTATAAGAAATGACAACTTCATTCTAACATTCAAAACTGTTTTGATACTCATACATTTCATTTTGAGTGTTATTTATTTAGAATATAGACGAACAATATAATCTATTTTTTGCAGTGATAAAACAAAACAAACAAAACAATGAGAAAATATTGAGAAGCATATCATTGGTTAAAATATTTGACAGCAGAAGAATTAAAATTTCATTATAGGTTGATACTTTTAGTCATCTGTAAAGTTTATTATTATAGAGTCATGATTAAAATATACATCATGTATACAAATTTTTGGATTTTTTAATTATTCAAAATTGAAAATAAATAATATATGATCATTATTTATGAGAATCAATTTCTTACAAAGTCCATATATTTAAACGCTAGCAACAAAAAAGTAGTAATTTTAAAAGACTTTTTGTTTGTAAATATTGGTATTCACACTTATAAAATTAGCACGTTTTATTTTTCTCATTGCATTACTATTATATTATTTGTTTCTTATTCTATAGACAAACAATATTTTATTTGCTAAGTAATTAAAGCACATTTATACGCATTACGGTATTTTTCGTATGTGTTTTATATAATGATGTTATCAAATTAGCTTATTTATTAGGCTACAATTAATATAATCACATAAGATTAAATGTAATGTAATATATCTGATAAAGCTGTACTTTTTATACGAATTAATAGATTAAAAAGTTTAGAATTTTTTCCAATGTTTGATAAAATATTAATTAACTAAGTCATTTTCATAATCACTGAATACATATATGGTACCACCATTATAGAGTTCCTTTTCCAGCAGTAATTGACTTCACATAGCTAATGTTATTTCATTTCTTTTCTCTGACTTAGTCTTTCCTTTTGATCTATGACTTTACGTTGCTTCACTTCGTTTGTACCCTAAGGTGCGTTTGCCATAGCTTCAGCATTAGGACAAACTCTTATCAAACATATATCGGATTTGGGCGCTCTAGCGAACAGTTAGAAGTTTACACCCATTTTTTTACTTTTTTTTTTAATATGAATTGTTTCAAATTTATGTATGAAAACATACCACAAGTTTATCTTATGTTATTTTATACTTAATAAAATTGATTTAAATTGAATATAAAATTTATTACATTATATACTTTAACACCAATTTATTATTTTAAATTAGTACTAAAATATATTATTTTATATCAATATAAATAATTATATTATTTTTATGTTATTGCAATATATGGGTCAACTCAAACATCATTGAAATTAAATGATGTGATATATTACATATAAAAAAGGTAACAAATATAAAATATGAAGTATTTTAAAATTAAAAAATTAATGATAGAAAGTAATAAAAATCTTAACTAAAAAATTTTAAGATTAACATACCCACTTTTAAAGAAATATACATATGAATATATATATATATATATATATATATATATATATATATTATGTACTTAAAAGTTCTAGTTAAAATATGTGTATCTTAAGTATATTTTATATTTCTCATTAGCCAGCTTCAATTGACATTGTACATTAAGTAATTATATCAGCATTTTTACTTTTGGATTTAATGAGAGATATAAGTTTTGTCATAATTCTTACCCCTTATTTAGTTATTATAATACTAATAAAATAATTAAGGATCTTTTAAAGTATCTTGTTTGTTTTGAAAAAAATTACTTCTTATCATAAATTGAACGCCAATTACATTGAACATGTTATATTTTCTATCGTATCAAAAATTTTTATAATAATAGTTGCACACAATATTATATATAATGTATTTTTTTTAGATTTGGAGTCCTAGTTTTACTACAAGAAAATGAGAAAATTCCAACAAAAAATACAACATATATAACGATTTTCTTATGTTGATTTAAGAAAAATCTTGACTTTTGGTTTCTTAAATATATTTTACCTCATTGTGATTGCATAGATTTATTAAAATGTATTACAAATGAGAAAGGTGATAGATTATGTAAAGTATAATTTATAAATTGCAATGACATGTTATTTTGATGGTATATTTTTTTCTATTAACTAAATAATGCTCCCAATATGAAATTATTTTGGATCTATCACTGCAATTATCTTTCCAATGGAACTTCTATTGAATTTTTGCATATACCAATGACAATTTTTTCAACGATTGAAATATGGTCAAAAAAAAATTCCAATAGAAATTCATGTAATAGAAATCTATTAAGCCACTAAACTTCATGTAATTTAATTTGAACACTAATGGAATAGCCAATGAAATTTTCCAATGAAAGCAATATATATATTCGTGGGAATTTTCAGTAGAATACCTTACTGTTGAGTTTTTCATTGCAGTATAGCAATTTTTTGTAGTCCTCTCAAACATTATTTTTTATGTAGTATTAATTGAGTAATTTTGTTTACAATTTTTCTATCAAAAATATATTAAACACGTGAACCTTTTAGTTCCTATAATTTTTTTTTTCGGAAATCACTCATTATTTTATCTCAAGATTACCTATTAATTTACCAATTGAGTTACATTTCTTGCTTATAATATAATAAAATAGTTCTTGTTTTATATGTTCAATATGATACTTATATATTATATTAAAAAAAACTAATATAGTAAATAAAAAAGTTATTTAGAATTAGAATAATAAAGATTTTTTTTAATCTACATGGATAAATGTACAAATTATTATTGTCTTATCAACTCAAATTAACACATAAAATTAATAAGAACAAAAAATTAACAAGCGTTTAACAACTCAGTTCAATTACATCGATAAGAATATTTTTAGAAGGTTTATATTTAGTTATATTAATTATATTATTTTTGTTTATTAGTTTGTTTTATATTTATTAGTACGTGTCACAACTTAGTTATTATTCATATTATTTCTTATATTTCATATTTTTGTAGAAATTTATCTTTTTCTTTCACATGTTCTTAACTGTAGATTTGTCAAAAAATACATAATATAAAGTATAGAATTTTTTCGGTCATCTGTCTCATTATATATCAAATATTTGTATATCCTACATTATATTATATTTAATTACAATTTTGTGATTAATATTTTAATAAAATATTTACAATTCATAAACTCATTAATAATATTATCGAGCCAACTTTTGTTCATAAAATTTTTATAAATATATTATTTTCATTGATTTGTTTATGTTGAAATGAGAAAAGTTGTGTTTTTTTTTTTAATTGTAACTGTATTGATGTGTTAAACATGTACTACAGATGAGAAAGATGAAAAATTATGAAAAATATAATTTACAAATGATATGACATTATGTTATTTTAATGGTATATTTTTTCTATTTACCAAATAATGCCTCATGTATGAAATTATTTTGTATCCACCACTGTAGGTAGATTTCGAATAGAACTTCTATTGAAATGTTTACAATTCCAGTGACATTTTTCCAACTGTTGAAATATGACCCGAATTTTTTTTAACAAAACTTCACGCAATAATAAATAATGATAATTGAAATAATTATATTACACAAGAATAAAAAATGTAATTTGATCTCTGTTGAAATAGTCAATGCAATTTTACAATGATAGATATACAAATAAGATATCATTTAGAAATTCTAGTTAATGTCTTACCGTGATGTCCTTGGAAAAAAAAAGAAGTTAATGTCTTACCGTTGGATTTTTCATTTCAATGTACCATTTTTTTTATTCCTTTATATATTATAATTTTTATTAGGATTTTTTTGTTATTAATTAATTGTATTT